AACTAGGCATGGGATAAGGATCTAGGAGGGGTCGATTGCATTCGAAATATCCAATAAATCAAACAAAAAGCCAGTTTGTCAAGGGATACCATCTTTAACTAACTGACCCCTATTTTCGAAAAAAAAATCCCAGATTTGGCTTATTTTCCACCCGAAATAGCCCGTCTTCTTTGTCTAAAATACCGTCTTATCCTCAAACTGGAGGCTTTTGAGCCTAATTTGGTCAAGCACGAATTGAGCATAACTATCGCATGTGACGGCCCAAGCTTCAAGCATTTCTATAATTACTTAGCATTTTCGAGCTGAAATAATTGCTTCTGTAACTGTTAATGCCCCTTTTTTAGAGAAAATTTTGCTCTTTCTAGCTAGATTTTAGATTTTACGGCTTTAGCTCAATTTCTCGAAGTTCTCAGCAACTTGGGTATTTTTTTTTACCCTCAGCAAGGAGGAAGGAGATGCGTATCTCTCGCTTTTTTCCGCCATCTTCGTGTTTATTTTATGGCATTGCATGAAATAAAAGTCTTTCGCCCAAATATCAAGAAATCCTACCAATGAAATGTTATATCATTTTTATAAAAAACTGTCAGTTTTGATTTATGTTAAAGAATAGCACTGTCTTCAGGTACTGGTGTTCATGATCACGGGAACGTTCGAGATGCCACAAAATCTGACTCCCGAACTGGCCAGAGAACTAATTGATATTGCTATACATTTCAAACCTTTGAATCGTGACGCTTTGAGGAATACCCTTCATCGCGCCCTCTGCGAACTGTTGATACAGGTTTGATTGTCTATTATTAAAACTGCCAAGTACGGCCAGATTGCTTAAACAACCAGTGTAGAATTCATATGTTTCTGAAGTGCATGCAAATGTCTGGCATTATCGCGGAAAACCCACGAAAAGCCAGCAGAGAAGAAGCCATCGTAAAGGTTATGAAGGCAGATAAAGGAAAGATGCATGTTGTCTTAAAAACAGATACCGGTAGGACTAGTATTGGACTTGCGCCGCAAGCACAAGAGCCGGTAGTGTAGTAGCACGTCGCGTCCGGATGTGAAGAGGAGTGGTTTGATTCCTTCCTGGTCTCTACGCCTTGGTAAAAGATGACTCGTCCGCGACAAGTTGCTCAGTATTTTGCGAAACGGGCTTCTTTCATAACAGACTTGTCTGTATGATGCATATGTCCGCTTTGTACTGGCAACTATTATCAGTTTTTCATAAAATGCCCAACTGAGTTGTTAGTAACCCCAAAATGACAGCTCTAACTTGATTCTATTAATCGTAGTTATTTTTTTTTTGAATTTGTGGATGGGACTCCTAAGACAGATGATGAGTTTCCTAAGTCTTTGGTAGAGAGCGCTGTTTCAGGATTTTTCAAGTCTGGATAAAATTGTGCGTTTTCTTGTCTTTTCGCACGAAATGAATCTCTCGCAGCTCAAATTAATGTGCATGTCAATCATTGTCTATGAGCACTACAGACGATTTAAACAGGAATACAATGAAGAGGCAAGTTTTTTTTAAGAATTTCTAGGACAAAATACAATTCTAAGTACGGGAAGGCTTCGGAAGGCTGGGTAGGATTCAGCGTGCAGAATTTAACGTCCCGTTTTTTTGTAATTTAGAATAAACTGGGGCGACCTTTAATCAGCTGATTCTTTTGGATTGTCTAGTGTTTTCCAGGCCTTATCCTGAGTTGCATGTCCCTAGTTTGTACTTGCCACCTTTCCTACCTGCCGTCTATTTGTTCCTCGGTGATTTATCTGACACGAAAAGTCCATCAATCATATCCTAAATCGTCGGATTTCATCTCTCATTATTGCTTACACCTTATCCTTTATGCCAGTCATCTTCCTCAGCACTCTGTTCATCTACGTGGCTTCGTTTTCGCATCATAATTTGATGATTGTGACGTACTGGTGCATTTTTTTAGACACCGAATACGGATCATCGTGCTCTGTATGAACGTTTACGACGTAGTGGCTTCTTGTTGACTGTATCACCTCTCTCAAGAATTGACTCAATCCGTCGGCAATCGCTAAAGTGCCGACGAGTGTTCCGATATGGACGAAAACCTGATCAGGATTTGAATAATATGCAAGAAAATCCGAGCGAAAATGTCTGGAATGATGTGGATTAATGCTTTTCAATTGACCCAGTATTACGAGAGTACCACATATAATGAATCAGTGTTATCAGTACAGAATTCAGCAAAATTTTTGCAGCTTTTCACTATAATAATTGATTGCTATGCAGAATCTGTCGCCTTCAAGCGTGCAGTTTTGGAACAAAGTATTTCAAAAAAACATGACGTTTTTCGCTATGTTCTCAATATTTCTCAAATTTTTTTGATGAAATTTTCTTCGGATTTTTCCAATTTTTGGAATTTTACTGTTAAGAAGATCGAAACTTTTTAAATTGGTACCATCAGCAGATCGTTGAAGGCCTAAAACACATGTATATCACAAGTATTTTACACGTGCCCACATTTATGCATAGCAAAATATACTCGTAACCGCTAAGTGGAGCATTGGAAGGGGATCATCAACTGGGATGGAAAGATCCACCTGAACGTCTTTTGTTCAAAAAACACGGACGTAGTGAAGTAAAAACCGAAAAAAAGCAGCAAAATCAGCTGTGTCGATGATCAGAAAAAATACAAGAAACAGTTACTCAACAAATTACACAGGGCGACATACTGGACCTCAATTGAATGTTTGGGAGGTGTTAAATATTCAAAAATTGTAATATTCCATTAAATCAAGCAAACCGTGGATAATGCTATCCCCGTTTACTCACTGATACCTTGTAGAAGGTGATAACAATTCAAAATTGTCCTGTATTGAGGGGAGGGGGGTAAACTCACCAGAACTTCTTAAATTCACTCAAACTATTTCATATTTCCTATGGGCTTCTTTCTTCAATATTTCCAATATACTGCTCCATAAGTTAATGGCTGCTGCTTAAATAACGCCCACAATTCTGCTCAACTTTGATAATTCGGTATTTAACTTCAATAAAGACTTGTAAGTTAAAGTTGAGGGGATATACTACCAGCTGTAGTGACTCCGAAGTGCTAGGGGATTTAACACTACAAAATCTTCGTTGGACGGATACACTAATAGGCTTAGTTTACCAAATTTTATATTAAAATAACAGTTTTTGTTAGCATATAGCACCCATTTGCCAAAGAATGGCTTTATCTCAAATCGTTTGGCATTTAGAGGCTAAAATTTAACGCTTTTTGTCTCGCTCTTATAGCAATTTGGATTAATACTAGATCGTTTTTGCATTTTCTGGGAAAGTACTATGTCCTTTGTCCGTATTTTACAGCATTTCGACTGAGTTTTGCGTAAGGTGTAATTTGAGAGTTCCATCCCCACCAGAACAAGAAAAAGCATTGCACTCAACCGAATTCTACAGTCACCAGAATAACGTGGAACTTGAATGTTTCCGAGGAGCACCGAATTGGGAATTGAATATTGTGCCTGGAGGAATTCGGCACATTCGTTGTAACATCTCTCAAATGACAAAGAAAGGAGATCGAAATCCAGGTTGTCCGTACCCGCCGGAGGTGCAGCTGTGCGTTGTGGAGAAAGAGAGCAAACACGACTCCCCGTTGTACGTGGACTGCTGTGAATGGCACTGGGAGGCTAAAATTGCCCCCTGTGCTATGCGGTTCCAGGCCGACCTGGCGTTCCATGCACCGAATTCGATCGCGGTGCCAGGTTGCGCATAGCAAAGTGCATCGTTGGCGGATTTTTCTCCGGATAGCAGGAGAGCACTCTTCTCCACAGCGCCCTTACTCGCCTATCTCCTAGTTCATTTTTGCTGCCCAGGACGACAAATCCCCCCTCCCAACACATCGCAACAATTCTTCCTCCTTATTTTTGCATCATTTTTTTAAAGATTTGCAATTTTTTAAGTCTTTTTTCATTAGCTCCCCATTCGTTCCTCGTGACTGATCTCGCTGGTTGTAAACTGCTTTATTGAGCGTGTAAATATTTCGCTGACTGAAACTGTATTCATTGCGATAATA